TGTGTAGCCCAGGTGGGCCTCAAACTCACAGTGGTCCTCCTGCCTCAGCCTCCCAAGTGCTGGGATTACAGGCGTGCACCACCACATCCAGCCTTAGATCAAGTTTCAGTCTTGTGGATGGAAAATTTTGTCATCCTTTCCTCAAAATTTCACATCAACTTCCACCTATTTTTCAATACTAACATTAATATCAGTATGTCTAATGATCCCCCAAATATCTCCTGGGATCATTATTACAATTTTCAGTTTATTACAACTTGAGAAACGTTCTGGCTTTTGCAGTGGAGTGTTTATACCCAGGAGCACAGCATCACTCTTCATTTATCCCAGTCTTGTCTTAACAGCCAGAATAGGCTCTGTAGAGATTTTTTTCTGTAGGCTTTGTATCTTTCATATGGATTTCACCCCAAAGTACGCAGTGATTTTATCAATAATGGGATTGTCTATTTTTTCACAATTCAATTTCTAGTTTTTTTTTTAAATATATACATTTATTAGTTCGTGTTTCTTTTTTAAATAAGACAACTTTATTAAACCAAAAATCTGTATACCACACAATTTACAAGCTTAAAATGTAAGATTCCATAGACGCTCGCACACTGACAGAGGTGTACAGCCACAACCACAGTTAAACTTAGGTCATTTTTGCCACCCCAGGTCAAAACCCTCTTCCTAGGAGTCATCACCTCTCAGTCCTTCCCCACTAAGTCTAGGTAACCACTGAGCTGCTCTTATTGTCATAGATTTTCCTATTCTGGTAATTTACTTTTTTTTCTGTCAAAATAGACCATTCTCACAACAACAAGAAAGACCTTACCATATCCAAAGAAATATGAATCCTGCATCATGAGCTCTCAGAACATATTAGAGCAAAACCAGGGACCAATAACAGAAACATGCTTAGAATATAAGTACTTTCTTTCTTTCTCTCTTCTCTCTCTCCTCCTTCCTATTAAATTTTCCACATAAGGGAAGCCATACAATGGACAAGCTTGTGTGTCTGTTTTTTGAGGAATCTCCATGCTGATTTCCACAGTGGGTGTATACATCTACTATGTTTACGCTCCCACCAACAGTGTGACTTCTAACTTCTTGTATGTTTAGCTTGCCTCTAGTCACTTGGAATAAACCCTAGTTGAACCACTTTTAAATATGGTGCTGAATATTCTTAATACTTTATTTTAGATTTTCCCATTAATAGCCATAAACTAGATTGGTTTATATTTTCTTTATCATACCTTGGTGTCCTGGAAATTGCACAATGATTGCTATCCTACATATCTCTTTCTGAGTGCTGAGATAATTTGACTTAATGTAAAAATCATCTATTCCCTGAAGATTTGATGCAGCTTACCTTTAAAAATCGTCTATGCTTGACACCTTTTAATGACAGATGGCAGATCTTTTAACAGCTTTCTTTTGTGGTTACCTGTCTATTCAGGCTTTTCTAATACTTCAGTTAAATTTAGTACTCTATATTTTCCCAAAAATGCGTTCCATTTCCCCTGAAGTTTAAAGCTCATTAACCTAAAGTTGTAGGTAATAATTTGTTAGAATTCTCCAGTACCTGTTGTTAGAATAATAGTGCTTCCGGCTTGCTTTGGGCTGTAACACTTCCTAAAGTGTGAACACACACATCGCACCAGGTGAGCCCTTCTAGCACCTGGACAGAGGAGTAAACTGAGGCACATAGTGGGTCAGCAGCTCATTGCAGGGCTAATAGTCAGGCAGGGGTGGGGTCTAGACTCAGACCCAGGGCTCCATCTCCTCGTGCCATCCGTCCACCTGTGTTCTTCCCAGTGGTGCTCTCCTGGGGCCAGGCCTTCTGACCCTCTGCTCTCTGGGCACAGCTTAGCCAGGGGAAGTGCCTCTTCAAGTTACAATTCTAAAAACCTATAAAATGCATCAGTAATACCACTTTTATTTTCTAAAATGAGAGAAGAGAAGCATTGGTTTACTTTCCAAATGGCTTTGTGTGGGCATATTTAAAAGCTTCCACTAACCTGTGGGTGGTTGAGGGCTTTGGTTTGAGTGGAAGGGTGTTCTGGATTCTGAGGATATTCCCAGCAGCCTCCTGTGTTTGATGTCATCTCATCAAGTATGAAACACTTTGCTCATTATGCAGATTCCTCTGTGCTAAAGGATAGTAACATATAATAGAGTTCCTCTGGAGTTGCTTGAGATGAAATGTAGCCAAGTTTGACTAGTAGGTGAGGGGTTTCCATATGGTAATCTGCTGAAGTTCCCAGGGCAGCGCTAGTCCAAGATAAGCACTGTGGTCAAAGCTTACAGACACAAATCAGGGATTGTATGTCAGCATGTGCCCGGGGCAGAGACAGCGCTCCTTCCTGATTGGCCCCAGGATACACTCAGAGGCTCTGACCGTGATCGTGGTCTCTCTGCCGATGCTCGCTGAGCTCAGCTCCCTTAGTTGCTATCCCTGCCCTGTCTGCCCAGAGTAGTGATCAGCACCGACATAGAGGTAGGATGCAGCCCCTCCACCAGCTCACCGGGCCACACAAAGGGTCCTTCTGCTGCCCCTCTTTCCTGGAGGCCAATCCCCGCCCCCCCCCCCCCCCCCCAAGTCCCCTGCCCTGGGCAACTTTCATCCTGCCTGAGGCTCCCCAGCACCATGGACAGCGCCTCCGCAGGCTTCCCCCAGCCAGGAGAGGTAGAGCCCAGGGCAGTGCCCTAACCCAGCGCGCTCAGCAGAGTAAGTCCCCTGGGTCTCACGGTTTCGGGCCCCAGGGATGCCTAGCCAACAGTTGGGGCTGCAGCGCAGCGTCCTGCCAGTCATCAAAACCGTCTCTCAAAACCAGTCACTGAGCAAATCAGCGATGAAACTCGCATCCTGAAATGGAAGCCGTCTAAATGCACAGCCCTGCGGACTCCCTGGCTGTACACAGCGGTACTCACTGTGTGTTTGCTGAATGTCTAAGTGCACCAAAGGACTGGACAGGCGAAGCCTCAGCAGCAGGCAGCCACCTCCTGGGCCCAGCCAGGCGTCTGCACGGCCAAGGCTGGCCTGTGAGGGGAGCTGTCTCAGGCCCGCCTCCGTGACGTGCTTTTGCCTCTGGGTTCTCTGCCCCTCTGCCTCCCTGGGAAGGGCCCCGGCTGCGGGACCCGGAGCCCAGGGGTTCATGCCCCTGACTCAGGGAGTCGATTCCCATTCTCTTCCGTGCAGACCGCTGATGAGTGGGCTGAGAAAATGCCCAGAATCCCGCCCCCTGCGTCTCCCAGAGAAGCAGCCCACAGAGAGCTGCTGGCGCGTCTCCACAAAGCCGTGACCTCCCACCACCGCGCCTTCGCCCAGGAGCTGGAGAACTTCGACACCGGTAAAACCAACACGGTCTCCAGAGATGAGTTCAGGGCCACCTGCACCCGCCACCTGCAGACCCTGACGGACGAGCAGGTAAGGCGCGGGCTTCCTTGGTTTCTCTTCAGGGCCTATGTCAGGGGCACCCCAGGCCCATGCTCCCCAGTGCACAGTGCTATTTTAAACAGTACTCAAGGTTCTATTTACCTTATTTTGTTCTCTTTTTGTTTGAAGCTAGGTTTTCACTGTGTAGTCCAGGCTAGCCTCCAACTTGCTGTCCTCCTGCCTCGGCCTCGCAGGTCCTGGAATTAAGGGTGTGCACCACTATTCCCAGCTCTGTTTTGTTTTTCAGTCTTACAGAAGACTCTCAGGAGCCTTCTGTTAGGTGACAGGTGTGACTCACACCATGTCAATCAGAGTGCAAAATATGTTCCTGTGGCTTTGCAAATCAAATTAAACTCAGCCCCAGCTCCCACCCTCCTTTCCTGCCCCATCATCCGGTGCCTGTGTGAGCCAAACAGGGGGCCAGGGTCCCCCACATCCCAGCAGGAGACGTGGACCCTTGTGTTCCTGATGCTCCCTCTGTCCTCTACTCTTGCACCCATTCCCAGAGAATAACTCAGACAGGAGGAGATAAAATACAGAAGAGTAGCGCCTCCTGCTTCCTCTGGCTTCCGCTCAGGCCCAGCCCAGGGTTCTGCCTGCAGACCCAGGTAGAAACCTGTCCCTTTTAGCTCCAGGTAACTCTGTTACCTCCCTCCACGCCCTCATTAAAGCCCCTGTGTCTTAGTCACCTTGTTGTCAGCAGGACACAGTACCCGACACCCACACTGAAAGGAAGAAGTTCATCCAGCTCAAGTTTTCAGTCCACAGTTATCTGACGCCAAGGCAAGAAGCAGCAGTGGAAGGGTCTGGCGGAGGGAAGCTGCCTCCCTCATGGCAGCCAGGAAGCAGGGACATAAGAGAGGACCAGGGAGGGAGAGAGGGTCTTGCAGGCCACGCCCCCCAATAACCCCCTGTTCCCACCAAGCAAGCTACAGCACTCCCATGATCCATGTACCATCCACCAGCCACACCCCTGAGTACACGAGGCCCTGGGGGACGACACTCTCCCAGATGTAAACCATATCACTTGTCTCAGTTACTTTTCCCTCATTGCTGGACAGAATACCTGACACCCAAAATTAAGGAAGGAAAGGTTTATTTAGCTCACAGTTTGTGGAGGTTTCAGTCCATACTCGGCTGGCTCCAAGGCAGGGTGGCACATGGCCCAGGGCAACCGTTCATGGTGGCAGAAGACAACAAAAGCAGCAAGAGCAAAAAGGGGAAAAAACAAGCCTCTTTTCCTCCCTTATATTGTATGCCGGCTCTCTGTGCCCTCCTCTTGCACAGGCTCAGGATGAATACAAAGTAAGGATCCCGGCTCCCTGCTGAGTCACAGAGTGAGCCTTCTACACTTCTCAAGCTGACACAATGAACAACATGGTAGAGCAGGAGGGGCGTGTCCCTTTCACCCCAGGGTGTAGAACTGCTGAGTTATTTAGTTAAGCTTCTCGACTCCTCAAGTTGACACAATGTATCAACCATAACTCACTCTAACAATGCGAACATAGGGCTTAACTTCCCCAGTGTTAGGCATTTTGTGATGACATTGTCACTAAGTAAAATGAAGCGCTACTGCTAAACACTTCTCTCCACAGAACATCAAAGGCAAGCAGGCTCTGTCTTTGCAAACAGCGTAGGTGAAAATAAGCCTCTAAAATGAATGTAGTCACATTTATTATTCCATGGTGCCAACTGGTAAAAGTTTTACCAATAAAAGTTTTAACTGATAACAATTTTTCATTTCATCTAATTGAATAAATTTTCACTCTCACTACTGACATAAATTAATGATGTGCTGACACACCTAGCATTCATAGCAAGAGAATCTGATTTTAATTTTCCACTAAAGAAGCTTCATCATCCTCAGCAAGCAAGCCCTCCCCAGCAAAATTAAGCATTTATTCTTAAATTCTCCTTCCTAAAAATAAGTTCACCCATCTCAGATACGGTCCACACCACCTGCAGGATCAAAGCCTGGCATGCACGCTCCCTGGCTAAAGTTGGGGGGTGGTTAGCAGGCACCAAACTGTCCCTTGGTGGAGAAGGTTGCTTCCGGATACAGGCTGACAAACGGCAAAAGCCCCAGAGACCCTTAGGTTTATTTCCTATGTGAGTTACTGTGCCAGCAACCTTTGTCTTAGTCACTTCCTCATTGGCTCGTATTTCAGTCCATGGCTCCCAGGCAAGAGGGCAGGGCAGGGGGGCCTGGTGGAGGGGAGCTGCTCAAGGCATGGGGCACAGGAAGCAGAGAGGGAGGGAGGAGCCAGTAGGGAGAAGAACCCTTCCAGGCCACGCCCACAGGGCCGCCTCCTCCACAGGTCCCGCCTCCTATGAGCAACTCAGCTCCCATAATCCATCACTCTCCAAAAGCCCCACCTATGAGCGCTGGAGGCTCTTGGGGGACATCTCATTATAAACCATAGCAACCTTGGTTGAAGACACAGCCTCTGTTAAAATATGACACAGACTGAATTTGTCCTTGTGATGTGCTGAGGTCCCTCATCCTGGGAACTCAAAAGAGTTCACCAAGGACACTGTGACAGTTCCAACCACGTTAAATAACATTTCTACAGACTGCATGATTTCATTTACTTACATCGTAAAAGCTGATCACATACACACGTACACGCAAACAAGAATAAAGATTCCAAGGGGGCACAGACCACGTCTTTCAAGAAAAGCAGGGGGTCTTCAGGGCAGAAGGTGGGACTGGGGTCTTCCTGGCGCTGGGGAAAGTGGGCCACAAGGGTCTGTTGGACCCCGGTCAGCCTCACAGTGGCGCCTCCCTTTGCAAGGCCATTTAGAGCAGTCCACGGCCTTGCAGCTGTTAGGAGAGGAGCTGTTAGACACTTTAGATGTGGTACTCTCCAAGCAGACACCCCTAGCAGTGAGAAAAATTACTCCAAGAGCACAGAATCCCTCCCACACCCGTGGCTTTGGGCAACAAGTTGCTGCACCTCTATGAGCAAGCATCTTCCACCGGAAAGTGGGCACACACGGTCCTCTCCAGACTCTCCCAGGTCCCTTTCTCTTTGACCACGCTCAGGTTCAGCCTGCCCCTCTCCTCCCGTCCCGCTCACTTTGAGCTCTGCGTCCTTGAGCTGAACCCTGGGACACCTGCAGGTTCTCAGGCACATGGTCACCTATCTTGGCAGTGCAGGTAGTGCCCGGAGACAACCTGCACCCACATATGGAGCCCACATGTGCAGGAGCGGTGCTGCGGGTGCATGTGGGGCCAAGGATGTTAAGCTGGAGGGGCACGGTATGCAGCAGCTACAGGCCGCTGCCTGCTCTGTGGGGGCTGTGGCAGCAAGCAGGCGTGGCAGGGCCTGGCCCGGGGTCGGGGGGCCGTTCCTGAAGATGGGATGTCAGGTTCGCGGAGGCAGGGGGGAGTGGCGTGGCAGAGGGGATGTACCGGGTGCAGGAGCAGTGAGTGTGAAGCCAGTGTGCACCACAGATCAGCACCTGCCCTCCCGGGATCTGCATCCTTTGGGGGTTCTCGGGCAATAAAGAAACATATATATGATTTCTTAGAAGTGAGGCTCTTAAGGAAAAACAAACCAAAATGGGCAGGCGAGGCAGAAGGGGTAGGGAGCCAGGCACTCTCGGAGTGGCAGACTGGGAGTAAAGACTGCAGTCAGGTAGGGGTGGCTGGAAGCTGAGGGCCCTCAGCAGAGGGAACATGGGTGACAAAGGGTTTTCAAATTAAGTATATACAAATTTAGAACTGTTATTTCCTCCCCATGAGTTTAGCCTTTCCACATTATCTAATTGCCTTCTTTAAACCTGGAAAAGAGTTTTTGGCTTAAAATATATTTTACCTGATATTATTTAAACTACTCTAGCTTTCTATTATTTGGTGTTTGTTTGGCACATCTCTTTCTAAATTTTTAAAAATCTTTCACCCTTCTATGACCTATGTTTTTGTAAATGTATATTAATAGCCTGTCAGTAGATTATTTTTTAAAATCTGAGGTAGTAATCTCTGCTTTTTATTTATATGGATGTTTATCTAGTCCATTTATATTTATTGTGATTCCTAATGTATGTCTATTATCTGATATTGTGCTTTCTACTTAATATTGATGTTTTACATTGTTTACAATCTTCTTTTGGACTGAGCTGATAAAAATTATTTTTCTAACCTTCTAAAATCTATAAGTTATATATCTAACTTTGTTATTCTAACTAGTAAGTGGCTGTTGTAGTTGAAATTTTACTAAGTGTTATAAAACCAAATCCAGAGTATGAAGTATCTCCTTTGTCCTCTGGCAGCCAAGGATACTGTTACTGTGACTCTAATTTTCTCCTTGGGTTTTGTATTACTATTTTTTTTAATATTTTAGATGTATCTTATTTGTGTAAATTAAATCTTAGACTGGTTTGCTTTAAAAAGTTGGTGTTTATTTAGAGTTACCTTCTTTACTACTTACATCCTAAACTTCTGGAATCATTTTCTTCATGGAGTAATCTTTTGTTCATGATCAGATGGTAGATCTTTAAATATATATATTTATATATCTCTCTCATATGAGAGAATAAGAGAGAGGGAGGAGGGGGAGAGGCGGGGAGGAGAGAGGAGAAGAGAGGAGAGACGTATGTAATTCAGGCTGTCCTTGAACTCACTATGTAGCCCATACTGGCTTCAACCTCATGGCAATCCTCCTGCCTCAGCCTCCTGAGTGCTGGGATTACAGGCATGTATCACCATGCTCAGCTCTTTTGCCATATTTTAAAGGAAATATTTCTGCATGGGGAATAGTAAATTGATAGTAATTTCCTCTTAACAGTTTAAACAACAGTATTCCACCATAGCTTACACTGATATCGCTATAAGGTGATGTTCTGTAAGACACATCCATGGAATCAGAACTCTGGGAAGGGGCCAGCAGGCTCTCAGGAAAGTCCAGGGTGCCAGAGCTTGAGAACCACTTTATTTTACCTTTAATCATCTATATTCTCTAGTAATTCTGATATCGGAAGCCGAAATCTATCTCAGCTTGTTTTGGCAAACTGCTGTTCCCCATGACTGGCTTCTGCATGGGTTCGGTAGTTTTTGTTTCATTACAGGCTGATGCTTGGTTGAATTTAACACAAGGGAGCAGGGTGAGGAGTGGGGTAGGCAAAGGGGTACAGATGATCTGAGGCAGTGGAGGGGGGCACAAAGGGGGAATGTGCACGGCTGAGGCTTCAGGGAGGGACACACTGGGATGTCCTGGGTGTAACCCTGTGGATGGCTGCGATGAGGCCAGGAACTGAGAAGCCAGGGACCTGGAAGGACCCACTGCCCATCTACAGCAACGAGAGATGGGGCGAGGAGGAGAAGCCTGCAAGACCCAGGCACAGGGCAGAGGTGGGAAGGTTTGCCCCACCTCAGGCCTGAAGAAGAGCAGGAGGAAGAGGAGCAGGAGGAGAAAAAGGAAAGGGAAAGAGGAGCGGGGAGAAGAAAAGGGAAGAAGAGGAGAAGAAGGAGAAAGAGTAGAGAGAGAAGAAAAGAAGGAGAAAAAGGAGGAGGAGGAGGGGAGCGAAGCAAGAGGAAGAGACGAGCGGCTTCCGTTAGAGCCCAGGGTCTCAGGGAAGCAGTGAGGGTCCAGGCTCCACGGGTGCTGGGGGGACTTCCGTGGCCTGTGGTGGGGGTGGGGACTCCTGGTCACACGGCTCCAAACAGAAGCAGCATCTGGGCTCAGAGACAGGCTGCAGCTGCGTGCAGTGACCTCAGTGGACAGGTGCTGCGAAGCTCTGGGTCGCAGCAGTCTCAGCCTGCTGCCAGTGGCCTAAGGCGAGGTGGGGACCGCTCAGCAGAGCCCTGGGGGGACCTTTTGGTATCGGAAGCCATGACTCGGTGCATTTGATTATTACCTTTGTGATAGAATCATTTTCACTTCAACACACTTTTCATTTTCCTGTAACTCCTAAAGTTGCAAAACACTCTCCGCCCTCCTGCTAACCCAGGATTCTGTATCCTCCCAAACATCCTGCGGCCGACCTCTCTGAGCAAGCGTGCTTGTCGTGTGGCCGCCGCCTGTAAGTCCCACACTCGGGGTCATCGATCTGGGGACCTACAGGCGGTGATGGGCAGCTCGGGGCCGAGAGAAACTCGGGCTGTGCGTAGATACAGCCCGAGCTGCCCGCTTGTAGCTTGCTTTCGGGAAAACTCGGTGGAGACCCACAAGCAAACTCCATTTCTGACAGAGCCTTGGCCTGGGGGCCAGGGGATGGGCGCAGGACAGAAAGGAAAAGGGGGAGTCTGAGCCCGTCTCCTGTCCCCCGGCTGCCTCTCCCTCAGCCGGTGCTGAAGCCTGGGGCTCCGCGGGGCTCTAGGGCTGTGCACAGAATTGAATTGGAAGCAAGTTCCTACGCTTCCGGCTCCCCGCAAGCCCTCAGCCCGTGAGAAGTGGCTCACTTAGGACACCTGGGGCTCTCCGCTGCCGTGTGTGGTCCCCACACGGCCTGTGGTGACGAGGGCAACGACACGAGGCCATAAACTTCTCTCCGGATCTCTAAACACTCCCTCTTCATCTTGCAAGAAGACAGTGCTGGCCCCGAGGTTGAAGTAAATTGTGGATGCAAATTCGGTGGCTCAGGCAGCATCACCTGGTGAGCTGTGTGCGGGAGGCAGGTGTGGGGAAGGAAGAGAAATGAGTCAGATCCGGCTTCCCTGGGACAAAGGTGGGCCAGGACTTTGATTTGCATTTTCTCCTAAACTGTTTTCATACACTGCAGCTCAGTCACTGTGACTAATCACAAGATTTAATGGCCTTAAACGGCTCACTAAGGGCCCAATTCAATTAAAAAATGTCCTGCGGAAGCCATGAATAATCCTCTTGTCGTGGTTCTTCCAGTCTTCCAGAGGCTTCCGCCAAGCACAGGCCAAACAGGTTTTTTTTTTTTTTTCTTTTCTCTTTTTTGCATTTCCTAGGCTCGGCCCCAGGCGGTACCACTAGCACTGCCCCTGCCAGGCAGGGGGACGCTGGGGTTCTGCCGGGTCCACACTGACCCTTGGGGACGCTCTCTGCTTCCTCCAGTTTGACAGGCTCTGGAGCGAGATGCCCGTGAATGCCAAGGGGAGGCTGAAGTACCAGGAGTTCCTGAGCAGGTTCAGCGCAGAGCGGGCAGCCACGCCGCCGGCCACGGGCGACTCTGTCCAGGCGCAGAAGGGAAGCAGCGTCCCCGAGATCTCAGAGGGAACCCGATCTGCTGTCGCCTCACCCACGCGGGACCTGAGGGCAGGGCTAAAGTCACGGAGTCACCCCTGTGTGAGTGTGCACCCTGACAAGCGCCCCACGTCACCTCACACCAGATCTACAAACCTCCCAGAGCCCGGCCAGCAGGAGCCTGGGCAGAGAAAGTCACCAAGGGCCTCAGGGCTGCTTCCCCAGGGGGCGGGGTGTAAGGGAAGGACGGGGGAAGAGCAGAGGGGAAGGGGAGGGCAGGTGGCGGTGCTGCGGCACCTTGGCGTGGAAACACCCAGGCCCACAGGTATTCGGGTGCCCAGCCCACAGGTGACGAGGTCTAGCAAGTGGACTCCTGTGCTCCAGTCAGAGGTGGAACCTGGAGCCCGGGCTGCAGGGCCCGGGGCCTGGGAGGGAGAAGAGGGAGGGGCCCAGGTGGGCCGGGGCACCTTCTCCCTCTGCGCGCAGGGACAGAGGAGAGGAAGAAGGTGTCCCTGCACACTCAATGCTGCTGTCGCGGGGCCCGGGGTGTGACAGCCCTCAGACATGGGACAGCTCACGTGTGCATTCATGTGACACACGGTAGTGACTGCCACATGACAGGGGCCCCTGTGGGGCCCACAGCAAAGGGCCTGCATGTGTGGGGGCCGCACTGTCACAGGAGAGGATGAGCAGGGAGTGTGTGTCATCAGTAAGTCCAAAAGCAGGAAGTAGAGCAGAGTGAGGGGGCTCAGGAGCACCCCGCAGCGTCCACACCCTGAGCCTTGGCATCCGTGCCCGGCAGGGGCATCAGGTTGCAGATAGAGTTAGTTGTGCTTGGCTGACTTTGGATAGAGAGATTATCCGGAAGGATCCAGCGGCTCAGGGTGATCACGAGAGTCTTCACTTGGGGAGTTGGGCCGGAGAGACAGGACTTGGGAAACACCCACCTGCTGCCGCTGGCTCTGATGATGGAGGCGCCACCAGCCAAGCAGCGTGAGGAGCTAGAAAGGAACCCAGACACCTCAGCTTCAGCTCTGTATGACCCACTTAGACTTCTGAGCTCCAGCACTCCAAGGGGACGTGTTTAAGTGTCCCGTACAGGCCAGAGAGACCCGGCATAGATTCCCAGGGGTATGGAGCCTGTGCAGATTCTGGGCAGCGGGGGGATTCTGGAGACCACACTGGACAGCGAGGAGGAGCAGCAAGGAGGATGCCCGTGCCCCAGCCAGAAACCGTGGGGCGGGCATCACCGCAGTGGCAGGCAGCTGGGGTGCCAGCTTGGATGCGTCTTCAGGACAGGGCCAAGAGGGTTCCTGCTGGCCTGGGCCGGGGTGGAGGGGCAGGGCTGTCGGGAGGGTGCGGAGGCGTCTGTCGTGAGCAGCTGGAGGGAGGTGTGGCTGTCCACGGAGTGCCGTCGGGGTGGGGCTCGGGGGAGCCCTGATCTCCGCTGAGTGGGCTCAGTACTGTATTGAGTGCCTCGTGCTGAGAGGGCCCCAGGAGAAGGACCGAACAGCTCCTTTGAAAGGGAAAATGCAATCAAGAACAGCCTTGTCCCAGGTCCACATAATTTCAAAGTAATGGATATTCTGTGTTCGTAGGATTGGACGCCTCGTGCAGATGATGAGAAAATCCCTTTCTTTGATAAGACCTTTCCTCAAGTGAAAAATACATCACTTCACACACACTGCACGCACACACACTGCACGCACACACATCGCACACACACACAGCCCACACCACTGACATGCTCCAACGATGGCTACGTATTTATTTCCAAAAGTGTTCTCGGTCCTAGGATTTTCCCCACCGTTGGAAACAAAAGCCGAATAGCAAGAGTACATCTCTGTTCTAGTTCCCATCTTACCTCGGAGCTAATTCAGGCTGTAACCCCGCAAACCCCCAGCCCCATGCCCTGTCTGCACTTTTGTCATTGTCCACTTGGAACCTCAAGTGAAAGGACCTCTCTGCCCCTCCTCCAGACCCCTGCAGGCACCCCGCCGCTGCAGAACTGTGAACCCATCGAGAGCCGGCTCCGGAGGCAGGTCCAGGGCTGCTGGCGGGAGCTGCTAAAGGAATGCAAGGAGAAGGACACAGGGAGGCTGGGGACCATCACCGCGCCAGAGTTCCTGGGTTCGTGCGGCTCCGTCCCTGTCACCCCTGCTGGCCGAAAGCCAGCCATTCCCACCAGCCACAGTCCCACTCTCGGGTGGAGGCTTGGGAGCGGCAGCTGAGCAGACCTGTCAGGGTGCCCTGGGTGGAGGTAGCGGGCTGTGACACCCGCATGGCAGGGTCTACACTCCACTGACTCTCAGTACTGGACACCAGGCTTGCTTGTGGCGTGTGGGCACTGGAAGTATGTGAATGCCCCCAGACTGTGACAGCGGAGGGGAGGGGGCAAGGTGGAAGAGGGCAGGTGACAGGTGGGGACATTCAGGCCCCCTGTGATGCAGATGGGACAGGTAGAGGGGGACAGGTGGACACTCTATCCACATCAGTGCTTTCTTTGGGCTGTTTTCTCACTTTGATCACTTCGGTGAGCTTTTAAAATGAAACCATTGGATTTACACTCCCACTAATCACCGCTCATTGTTTGTGGAACATTGTGCATTATGGCAACACGGACTGGGCCGCGTCCCTCTGTGGAACACCTGCTTACCTCCGTGTCTTCCTAGTTTTTCCTTGGGACCCTCCACTACGGGTAGAGATGACTGCATCCTACCTTACATGCTAAAAAGGCACAGACAAAGGCTGTACACTCTTCCACAGCTCCTGTAAAATGCTAAAAAATTAAACATGAACGCCTGGAGTCAGTAACGGCCAAACGCTGTCACACCGGCTGCCTTTCGGCCGGAGCCGGACCAGCGGTCGTGGTCTCAGCACGCGTCTGCGTCCGCTGGCTTGGCCGCACCTTGTGCTGCTGTTCCTGCCCTCCCTGCTCTGCTCTTTCTCACGCTGACAGCAAGTACAGCACCCGCCCGCTATGCCAGCGGGCCCATCAGACTTCAGTAGGGCGTCAGAATTCCACACTAGAACAGGGTTACAGGGGCTGGGGATTTAGCTCAGCGGCACAGCACCTGCCTGGCAAGTGCGAGGTCGAGAGTTCGATTCCCGGTACCGGAAGAAAAAAAAAAAAAATAGAACGGAGTTACAAACTTCCTAGTCCTCCTACGCTCTCCACCCCTGCAGAGCGGCGTGCTGGAAGGACATCCTTGGGTTCTGTGGGCCCCCGCTGGCCCTGCTGGCCCATGATCTCCGGCCCCTGGCTGTGCCCGGAGAGACGTGTGTCCCGCAGGGCGCAGCAACACCGTTTACCCCACGCCCACTTCCTTCTCAGCCTGCTCTCAGCCTGGCCTTGATACCGTCCTTTTGTGATGTCCGGCTGAAGCCTCAGTCTGTTATACTCAAGTCTGATCCTACACAAGTCTGTCTTGAACAAGGGCTGTCCCTCCAGCACCAGCACGGTCTCTATGACTGGGAAGTTTGCTGCACACAAATACTGGCGCCAAGGGGGCGGAGCGGGGGGAGAGTGCTGATGCCTGGCGTTAAGAGGTGCCAGCCCCGTGTGGCATCGACATGACGCTCGTCAGAGAGCCAGGCTCAGACCCTGCCACCAAAGTCGACCTCAGGTCCCCATGTCCCAGGGCGGCTTTCGGAGACTGCGGGTGTCACTGGGGTGAAAGCTGAACCACATGTCAGTGCACACAGCCTACGGGCTCTCGGGAAGGCGTCTCCGCCGCATAGATGGAAAGTCCAGGGTCAGTGGCCGAGTCTGAACACTGCCCCCTCCGCCCCGTCCCCTCGAATCCAGCTCCTGTCCTTTGGGAGCAGCCCCTCCCGTCTCATCCTGGCTCCCGCAGCTCCCCATCTTCACACAGTGACCATAGCTTGGTGACCAGGACGGCAGGATCCCCGGACAGTGCGGGCCCGCAGGACGCAGGGACCCCCCCCCACGACGGCTCCTTGTGTGTCTGTTCCCGTACCTGTGCGTCCAGCCACCCCGAGCCTCAGCCAACACACTGCCCTCTCGCGCGCAGCTCTCGTGGAGAAGTTCCGCCTGGACGTGAGCAAAGAGGAGAGCCAGCAGCTCCTCGTGAAGTACGACCTGAGGGACAACGGCACGTTCGCCTACTGCGACTTCATCCAGAGCTGCGTGCTGCTGCTCAGGCCCAAGGAGACCTCGCTGATGCAGCGCATGCGGATCCAGAACGCGCACAAGATGGTAGGCGAGCGTCCTCGGGCCCCGGTGGGGTCGCCATCGCTCTGCCCTGTGTCTCCTGCGCCCGCTGCCTGTCCTCTGACAACCCATGGTCCCTGCCTGGCAAAGCCTTGTCCCCGTGTCCTCCCCACCCACACGCGTGGGAAGGCAGCCCGAGGCCACAGGGTCTGAATGCCCTGGAGCCAGGGCCAGGGGTAGTGAGCGAGTCTCCACCAGGCTCTGGGGACACTCAAGACACCTCAGAAACATACTTTCTTGGGCATAAGTCGGAGGTTTGATTTCTGTCCCTTGGAACCCTGTGAGTCTGGAGACACCCGGCAGCAGAATCGCCCCAACGACAGACACAGGGTCAGCTGCTCACATAACACCCTGCGAGTTAGCACGCGAGGCAAAGTGGGGTGAGTGGGTGGCTGGGGGTCACGGCAAACTGACACACTTTGAATTTAGACACAAATCCTGCACTTGCCAGTCGCCTGAGATGGGCAGGAGTCCTGGCTGGAGTGTGGGGTGGGGCCAGAGGAAGTTCCGAAAGACTAAAGTCGCGGCGATGGCAGCGGGAGGGAGAGGCTGTTCTGGAACTGGCCTCTGATTCTCAGTCACGTCTAAGCGTGTCACCGAGGTCCACCCCCCCAGTCTTGCTCCAGTCTCTCCAGAGCATGGGTTCAAGACAGGCCCGAGCCACACAGGGAGTTCAAGGCCAGCCTGAACTAATAGCAAAACCAGGGCTCAAAAAGCAAAACAAGCCAGGCATGGGGGCGCACACCTGTAATCCCAGCACTCGGGAGGCTGAGGCAGGAGGATCATTGAGAGTTCGAGACCAGCCTGGACTGCAAAGTGAGCTCCAGGCCAGCCTGAACGGCACAGCGAGACCCTGTCTCAAAAAGACAAACAAAAAAAATTAAAACAAAACCCGAAACATGAGTCAGAAAGTAGGTTTCAAGCTCTTCTGTTGTCTGCACTGTTGGACTAAGTCGCATCAAATAGCAAGTACAACTGGCACTGTAGATTCAGGAAGGCCCGGGGCTGAGTCCAGCTGCAGGGACCAGAGACCTGGGGCAAGGGGGTATGTGGGTTCGTCCCGCAAGCAGGTAAGCAGGAAGGTTCTCCCCAGCTGGGTCTGTCACGCTGCACAAAATCAGGTGGCATCCGAACATAGCTTCCTTCCAGCATAGCCAGGCAAGAGCCAGTGGCAAGGTCTCGTCAAGGACAAGTTCACAAAGGAGACGTAAAGTCAAGGCAGCTCTCAGGCCGGCTCAGTTCTTCCGTGAACAGGGAAGACTGCCCTCGACAGAGCCTCGAGGGGCCCCGGAACATAGCAGGAGAGACTTGGAGACCGCACAGCCCTCCTTCTTGGCCCTCTTGCTCTCATGGCCTCCCAGGAAAGAGCCCAAGTGGCTCTGGTCATGGTCCCTGTCCCCCTGGCAGCTGCTGAAGTCTCCTGCCAAGAAGATAAAGGGGAGGTCTCGTTGTCCGGCTGTTTGGGAGTTCATTCTGCGACCTGAAAGACCTCCTTTGGGGATGCCGCTCCGGCACTGCTGTCTCCTGCAGTGCTGGGGTCACCTCAGGGCACTCGGACAGGGCTGGCAACACCACACAGTGGTGGGGGCCTGGGGATTTAGCTCAGGGACACAGCGCCTGCCTGGCAAGTGCAAGGTTGTGAGTTCGATTCCCGGTACCGGAGGAAAACCAAAAGAAAAAACAAAAACAAACGACACAGTGGTGGGAACCAGCGTGGGGTGAGCCTAGCACCCCCTTTCTGCAACCTTCAGATCCCCGGTTGGGCAGATTGGCAGCTCACGAAGCCCTGGGGTGTCTGGGGTGTTTCCATCATGGGTGCTACATGATGTCAAACGGAAAGCAATTTCACTCAGCGCTCACTGGTTTTACGGAGCACCGTGTTAAAATTAAACTTCCCCAAAACGTGTTACACGTTATTGCCTGCAGCTCACCTCCATGGTAGTCAGGCATGTGTTGGGGCTAAATCGTGCTAAAATATCCTGGTTTTGATCTAATAGCACCTACATGAAATAATCACAGTGTAGTACTGTCTAATTACTAGATACAATTACAACCTTGGCAATTTTTTTTAACAATCTTTATTACAATAACCTACCAGAAGACCCAGACTGGAATTTCTCGCTCTTTCCCTCTTTCTCTTTCCTCAGACTACTTTGAACTTGGCTAGGTGTCTGCCCAGCCCTCTCCTCTGGTCCCTGGCAGGGGGAACGTGGCCTGCTGTGTGCTGGGGTCCCAGCTGGCTGGGATTACGTCCTCCACTGAGCCTGTTTAATAACCATCTATGAAACAAGGGCAGGATCCCCTTTTCCAGATGTGGGCAGGCCCCAAAGGCAGTGTCTGAACGGCCCACACGGGCTGCCTGTGCACAGAGGGAAGGGATTGTGTTCTGGTGCAGGAGGTCACACCCTTCTCTGCTGCGGAGCTACCCCCCCACACCTTCCCACCCCCGGGTTCCTCCCCCTCTGTCTCCTAGAAAGAAGCTGGTGCCGAGACAGCCTCCTTTTACTCAGCTCTGCTGCGCATCCAGCCCAAGATCCTGCACTGCTGGAGGCCCATGAGACGCATGTTCAAAGCCTACGACGAGGGCGGGACAGGGTTGCTGAGCACGGATGATTTCAGGAAGGTGAGCCCTGGGGCGGGGGGCTGCGCCCTGTCCAGAGCTGCTGCCAGTGCAGCTTCCCTAGAGGCAGCCACTGCGCCAGCACCTGGATTGACCCCGGCCCTGTGCATGCCTCCATCCCGGGCCTCACTACAAACCCGGAAGGGTAAGGTAGCCCCAGTGCAGGCACGGCGGCCTCTCCGCAGCCTGCACTAGGCTCAATGCACAGCGGTGCTGCTACACCAGGCATGAGCTGAGCCGAGCCCAGGCTAGGCCCTGGGTGGCCGGGACCTCTGAGTTAGCTGTCCCAACACAAAGCCTGCTCCCTCTGTGGCAGCCTTGTTGCCTTTGCTTCCCAGCCAGGTGAAAGGGGCCGGGCCGCCTTAGCTGCTCTCCTCAGGGTCAAAATAGAGGAGGGTACGCTGGGACCACGGGCTGTGCTACTGACACATCATCGAGACCCTGCCCCTGCAGAGGGCTTCGCGGCCCTCAGAGCTACAGGGTGGTACCCGGTGGCTGCAGGGGCCAGCCTGGGAGCTGCAGGTCTTCCTCTGTCCCCAGGTGCTGAGGCAGTTCAGCATCAACCTCTCTGAGGAGGAGTTCTTCCACCTGCTCGAGTACTACGACAAGACACTGTCCTCCAGGGTCCCCTACAATGACTTCCTCCGGGCCTTCCTGCAGTAGCACGGCCGCAGCACATCCCGAAGGCAGGCCAGGCCACGTCCGTCTCTGCCACCGACAAAATCTTAGACCGAGGGGTCTGACGAGTGTCCCAGCGCATCTACAGATACCGACACCAGCCCAGCCTGCGGGTCAAAACCTGTCTCACTGCTACAGGGCGGCCCTGCTGGCCTCAGCAGCCTCACTAGTTTGAACAAATAAAATAGTCTTTGCAGGGATGATTCGTGACACTTTAAAAGAACTACAAATGATAAAATACTTCAGAACTTGGGATTTCCAGGGTTGTGTTCCTGGCTGCCTGCCAGGCCCCTGCTGTGTCCCGGCCGTTATCCCAGCGCCATCCCCCCTTTACCCACCTGTCCTGGAGCACAGGACAGACATCTGTAGCCCCTGGGCGTCCAGTAGCCTCTGGGAGCCCTGCTCAGAGCCACTGGCCAGCCTGACCCCCGGAGAACGACTCACACCCACATCGGACGAGCCAGGCTCTGGGCTCAGCCCTCCCGAGGCGGCCGAGAGGGACTCGTCCTCCGAATTCCAAAGAGATCTGACCCGGCTGCCGTTCCTTCTGCTCACGCAGCGCCCCAGGCGGTGGTGGGCTGGGCTGTCCTCTGAGTTCACCTCAGCTCTCTCCACAACGAACGGCCGACACAGGGTCGCTGCCTTCTTTGCAGTTCTGGAGATTTGTTTCTAACCAAATTGTGTGGGACCAAGGACCCTGCCACGTGACATTTCAGTCACCACAGCTGCCACCATTGTAGGGCAGGGCCTGGCATCTCCCAGGAGGCCAGCAGGCCAGAACCACAGGCCTCCACCAGAGGTCGGGATTGCGGGCCGGACAGCCAAAGGGTCCGTCTTCCCGTTCCCTGGGGCCTTGTCCTCTCCCGTTCCCCCTCCTGCTTCCACGGGCACAGCCATGGCCACTTGTCGGTGCAGGAGCCTGGCAGCCAGCCAGACATGACATGAGCTCTCAGGAGGCCAGGGAGGCCAGGTGTCCCCTCCTGCAGATGCCCTGGGTGCCAGGCCCTGCCGGCCACACCAGCCCACGCTGGGCCCTCAGCCATAGCCCCGGCAGGGGGCACCCCCCTCAGCACTGCTGAGATGCAAGCCCTGAGCCCCACGAGGCCTGTAGCCCTGGGGAGGTGGAGAGGCTCCCTGCTTCCTGCCTTTGGCCTGATCCCCTCACCTGGCCGTCAGGGCTGACTCTAAGGGGGCTCTGGCCAAGCCGGATCTGGGGAGGCCTCGGGTCCTGGAAAACATGGGGTAACCTGGGGAGGAGGGGGGCACAGGGAGCTCTGATCAGAGGTGCCTGGTGCCACAGGCAGAGACACCCTGCACCCCACAGCTGCTCTGTGTGATAAACAGGTCTCTGCCCCTCCTGTTCCTGGAGTCCTCATGCGTGGTGGAGCCACCCTGTGTCACCTGGGCCCCTGGGACGTGGCCCTGGCCATGAGTGGCTGCCCAGGCTCGGTCCGAGGCTCAGAGTCCCTGCAGCCTCTCCAGGCTGGATAATGGCAGGCTCCAGGGCTCAGACAAGGGACCCCCAGAGTCCAGGTGCTAACGCTCAGTCTCCAACCCATGACACTGCTGGGAGGTGATGGGGACTTTAAGCGGTGGGGCTTGAAGGGAGTGGGAAGAGCATGGGGCACTCGAAGGGGACACGCTTGGGGGTCGTCCCGTGACCTCGATGGCAGCTGTGTCACCAGGCAGTGAGCAGTCTCGTCCCCTGCTCTCTTCACAGGAGCACTGGCTCAGAGTCCACCTGCAGGGCAAGAACGCTGACCTGCCCTCGCCGCCCCACTTGGCCCACAGGAAGGGCACTGATCTGGCTGGGCACAGCCTCGAGTGCCCGTCTCAAGAGGTGCAAACCAGGCCCGGCAGGCAGTGTCAGCCGTCAGGGGAGCAGCTGTGTTGTCAGGAGCTCCTCTGTGGGTCGACCCCGGGTTCCGATTCCTAGCAATGGGGTGGCGGTGGGCTCAGACCCACTGCCTCCTGGCCGCAGGTCCTAGTCCTGGCAAAGCACATTCCAGATCTTTTCACGCATATGGGCAGGACCCCTGATGTGGCATCTCCAACCAGCTTAAATTGCAATCTCGCCCACAAAAGAGCCAGGTGACGCTGGACTTTCAGCGAGCTCTGGAAAGAGCTTTGGTATCTGCCCGCTGTTCTTGCAAGCCCAGAAGTGGAAAGTTTATGGCTAAGCTTGCAGAAGATGAAAGTGCGTTCCTAACCCTATCCAAGCTGTGATGGAGGATGGGGTGCTGAGGGGTGAGGGGCAGCTTGATGTGTTGCCTATGTGTCCAGGCCCTGGCACTAGAGGCCCAGCCCCCATTCTGCTACTGGGCTTCCACTTCTCCACAGATGCAACCTGCTCCTCAGGAAATGCCAACTTTTCCTTCAAAACTCAATCTGAAGTCACCTCTCCCAGGAAGCCTCTCCAAGTTCCCGAGCCCGAGACACTTAGCCCAGCACTATTCAGCAACCTGTGAACCCATCATTTTTTAAGAGCTGAAGAAGGGGAAGAGGAAGAAAACAAGAACAATGGACTATATGTAGCCCACAAGTCCAAAAGTATTTACTCTCTGACCAGCAAGTTTGCTGGCCCCTATTGTACAAATGTGCAGCTTTTCCCAACACTTGGGAGACTGAGGCAGGAGGATCACAAGCTCAAGTCCAGCTTGGGCTACATAGTGAGACACTGTTTCAAAACAAACAAAAAAGTCCAACTTTCAACAAAAAATTATCAAGCATTCATACCTAAGGCAATTTTTAAAAAGCAGTCTATAGGGGAAAGAAACCATCCTAAGAAGTAGACTCATATGACACAGATTTTGGAACTATCAGGAAAGAAATTTAAAATAACAAATTTATCTGTTAAAGCTCTCATGGGAAATGAAGACAACACAAAATGATCAGATAGGAATTTCAACAGAAATGAAACTATAAGAAATCAAGTGGAAATGCTTGAAACCATTGCAGCAAAGATGCAGAACGTCTCTGACAGGCTCATCAGGAATTTAACACAACCAAGGGAAGAATCCAGGAACTTGAAAACAAGTCAGCAGCAAGAACCCAGATTGAAACGCTAAAAGGAGGAAGAGTGTGGGACAAGAACATTGCCAGAGCTATGGGACAGTATGAAATGGCTTAACATACACATGACTGGGCGAAAAGGAGGAAAAGAAAGAGCGCATAGGGAAGAAGAGATATTTGAATAAATAATGGATGGCTCTAACCTTTCCAAAATTAGTTACAGACACTAGACTAAAACAAAAGAAGTTTATAGGACCAGGCAAGTTTCACACACACACACACACACACACACACATGCACACACACACATACATCCAGGCCTGCCATATTCAAACCCTTGCAAACAAAGGCAAAAAATTTTAAAGCCATGTGGAGAAAAAAGACCCATCTCCAACAGAGGGATAAGGACAAGAGCTACGGCAGACTTCTCGCCTGAAACCATGCTAGCCAGCGGACAATGGAGATTACCACTAAGATGTTCAGGGTACTGGAAAAAAAATTGTCAAGCCAAAGTTCTATAGCCAAAACAAAGAGAAATGAAGGACACTGTAAACACATAAATACTGAAAGAACTCGTTTTCAGAGATCTACTCTAATGGAAATGTTAAAAAGTGTTCTACAGGCAGAATATGATTGAGTCAGAAATTGGGATCTATTGAAGAAATGCATATCAAATGTAAAATAATTGACTCTGAAGTAAAAGATTTTTATGCCCTAAATACTAAAAGATAACTGTTTAAGGCAAAATGGGCAACAATGCACTATGTTTAGATTGCATTTAAAATGAGACAACAGTGTTGGTCAGAATGGAAGGAAAGAACTCTGAGCGTACTATTAGGAGTTTTTTATACTATGTGGGAAAAGTATGATATAGCTTGAAGACAAATACAAATTATTTTTTAAATGTTTTTAAATGGTAGAGCAACCACTAAAAACATATTTTATAAATATACTTGTAAAAAGTAAAAACATGTCAGTAGAGGAGGTAAGATGGAATCATTATGATCACATCAGCAAAAAAAGGCAGATTAAGGACCGCCAAAAATTCCCTTCTCCAAAAAAAGCAACAAGAAAACTGGCAAAACTCGTCAGACTCCATGATACGAGTGCTTGTGCAGGGCGATCCAAACAGCCTGCCAGAACCCTCCTAGAAGTGAGTTGCCGTGTCCCTCCGTCACCTTTCTGTCACTGAGGCACAATTTCTCACACCTGAAACCTAAAGGGGGAGAGGTTTATTTCAGTGTGCAGTTTCAGCCAATGGTGGGCCGGCTCCAAGGCAGGATCAGCATGGTGCAAGGGTGTGGGTGCCAGAAAGCTGCTCATCCATGGCAACCAGGCAGCAGAGGGGGAAGGGAGAAGCCGGGGGGAGGTCCTGGCCCCAGTGACCCACCTCTTCTAACTGCACCCCACCTCCTAGCAGCACATTTAGCTCCAATGAGCATAGCACCTCCGCGATCCAGTCGCCACTGAGAAGCCTCAGCTCTGCATACAGGAGCCCTTGGGGCGACATTCTAAGTCTAAACCGTAACACCAGGTCAGTATGCAAAAGTCCACCACCTGCCTATGTGCCATCAGCAAACAGCTGCAATTAAAGTTGAACGTCAGTGCCAAGTCTAACGGCCCTTCCCTGTGAGGCACTTACAGAACCATCTAAGAGCTCCACAGGACCCATAGGGTGGAAGCTGTGAAGGCCCAGTGGGCAAGACCAAACATCAAATAGAGAGTGACATGGCCTGTGTGGGTTGGAAGACAGTTACTAAAACAGCCCTTCCTGATTTAACTGGTAGATTCTATGCAGTCCCAACCAAACTCTCAGCAACAATTTTTGATAGATATCAACAAGCTAATTGTATATTGTATGTGGAAAAGTAAAGGAACCAGAATAGCCAAAACAGCTGCAAAAGAGAAAAACAAAAGTGGAGGACTCACACTACCTGATTTCAAGACTTACCCAAAAGTTATAGGAATCAAGAGAGTATGGTGCTGTCCAAAGGATGGAGGGACAGATCAGTGGCTCAGGATGGACAGCCCAGAACTGAGCCACACAAGTGTCATCAGCAGATGCTGACAAATGTCCAAAGGTGATTCGGTGGAGGAATAGGGTCCATCTGCAAAAATGTGACCCTTCACACACCCCTCACCTGTGCTACAGAAATAACCCACAATGTCTCATGAACCTCCATGCAAAACATAAAACTTAAACTTCTATAGGAAAACATGAGGGGAAATCTGCATGACTTT